ATTTAAAGCATAAGCTGATATATATGTACATATGTTTCGTGAGTATCATTTAATATTGTGACAGAAATGTTTAATATATTAGGATTAAAATATAAGTTAATTTCCCTGTTGGGATGAAGCATGTGAGACAAAATGTTTTTTTCGGAGAGGGGATGGTATTTGAATATTATTATGGGTTTCCATGTAGGGGAATGTTATGAAATAATATAGGTTATAACAATAGTAAATTCCAATTTGAAGGTCAAAGGTGGAGCATTAGACAAAAATATTGGATATTGAAGTTATTCGATATCAAAAAGGAGACAATTTAATATCAATAAGCCATCTTCAATAAAATGCCAATACTAGACATCATATTCTGCAGAATATTAACAGGTCCCTTTTCTTCTATAGAAGAATGATAAAATGATAGTCTTATGATATAACACCATTATGACTTCTTTCAATAGCACACCAATAAGGCTTTTTGCAGAAGATGACCCATAGAACTTCTTCTTGCATAAACAGACCAATCATAAATGAAAATAACGGAACCGCTACTCGAGTAAAATGAATATGCTTTGTGGAAGCCCTATGTTCCCAAGAGAAGTATCAACATTTAATGGGCCATGTTTTCTAAGAGATTATTGTGTTTTCTCTACATAACAACCAATAATCGGGGTTGCATGGAATAACAACAAATTTACTTTTCATAGAAGACAATATGTCTTCTAAAATTAACACCAACAAGACTTCTAGACATTATTCTCTACATGACCTGTATGCCTTTCAAATTACAAAAGACCAATCGATAAAACAATGTATGAGGATAATACAAAATAGGAATGACAGGTGATAGCGTAAAATTGCGAAACTGAATAAGCAAGGACTCGAACCACGGCACCAAATTCTATGCGACGTTATTTCTAGTCAACGGAAGATGGCAGTCTTATAGCCCAGGACTGGCTACAGCAGACCAATCATTAACGAAGGGCCGCTCGAGTAAGATGGATATGCTTTGTGGAAGCCCTATGTGACCAAGGCGAGTAATAGCAGAAAAAAACTAAATTGGGACACCTCGCGGAATTAGTGCCAAGACACGGCTATATGGCAGATAATACCTAAATTCCACAATTTTAGCCGGTCAAAAAGGCAAAAAAAAAACAGTAAGGAAAGTAGTAAAGTCGGACGCGGCCGACTATATGATACCCTTCACCACTATGGGTATATTAAACAGGATGAAATCAAATATGTGATATTTATCTAAATGTGAATCTACCTAGATCTATCAATAAAGTATGTGAATCGACTTCAAACAAATATAAGTAGGTCATCCGTTGGGCTATGTCTGTACTTGTAGAAAATGCAACTACCTAATTCTATGCTTAATTTTGTAACTTGTCCAAATTTTGTTGTCAATCTGACTAACATGAGGAGTTTGATGCCAAATTTACTTGAAATCGGCCAAAAATATATATGGAAGCTCTATCCAAATATTAAGCGATTTCAAGCAAAATTGTCACAGGTTAGGTTATACTAATTTCAGAACGTTTTGTTCCTATTGATTCCTTGGTGCGTCAATTACTTAAAATCAATCTAGAATAAAAGGGAGATATCTCTAAACCTGGACCGATTTTCACGAAACGAGGCAGACATCACTCTAGGCTCAATTCAGTACGTTTTGCCAAATTTCGTGCAAATCGAAGGATATATAGGGACTTTGGTGCACCATTTACATGAAATCAGACGAAACTATATGTGGGAGCTATATAGAAATCTGGACCGATTTTCTCGAAACTTGGCAGACATCACTCTAGGCTCAATTCAGTACGTTGTGCTAAATTTCGTGTAAATCGAAGGATATATAGGGAATTTGGTGCACCATTTACATGAAATCGGACTAAATCAGGACCGATTTTCATCAAACTTGGCAGACATCATTCTAGGCTCAATTAAGTACGTTATAACAAATTTCGTGCAAATCTAATGATATATAGGGACTTTGGGGCACCATTTACATGAAATCGGACGAAACTATATATGGGAGCTATATCTAAATCTGGACCGATTTTCACGAAACTTGGCAGACATCATTCTAGGATCAGTTCAGTACGTTATGCCAAATTTCGTGCAAATCTAATGATATATAGGGACTTTGGGGCACCATTTACATGAAATCGGACGAAACTATATATGGGAGCTATATCTAAATCTGGACCGATTTTCTCGAAACTTGGCAGACATCACTCTAGGCCTAATTCAATACGTTATGCCAAATTTCGTGCAAATCTAAAGATATATAAAGTCATTGGGGCACCATTTACATGAAATCGGACGAAAATATATATGGGAGCTATATCTAAATCTGGACCGATTTTCACGAAACTTGGCAGACATCATTCTAGGCTCAATTCAGTATGTTGTGTCAAATTTGGTGCAAATCGAAAAATATAGAGGGACTTTGGTGCACAATTTTCTTGAAATCGGACGAAACTAATCGGGACCTATATCTAAATATGGACCAATTTTCTCGAAACTTGGCACACATCATTCTGGACCTAAATGATTAGGCTGTACCAAATCGAAAGATATATAGGGACCGTTTACATTAAATCGGTAAAATATATATATATGGGAGCTATATCTAACTGTGAACCAATTTTTCCCAATTTCAATAGGGTTCGTCCTTGGGCCCAATAAGTGACCTATGCCAAATTTCATCCAATTCGGATCATAAATGCGACCTGTACTTTCTTTACAATGTAACATAGACAGACGGACGGAATGCATAAATCGACTTAGAAAGTGATTCTATGCATATTCTCAAAAGGAACCATGGGTCTATTTCGTTTCCTTTTGCCTGTTACAAACATATGCACAAAGACATAATACCCTGTACCACAGTGTGGTGAAGGGTAGAAGAACAGTCAATAACAGTCAATTCTCGATGGATTTGGCTCACCTTCGAAAATCCACACGTTCGATTGGTATGTTGTTTCGGGCTCATTCCCAAAGATTAATAGTTACCTGCGATGATTTTATACATGACTTTCGGAGCACTGCGATCGTTTTTTTTGCTGAATTGTTTTACTTTTTTAGCGATTGTCTAATTTTGCGGGATCCAACGGGTCAAGTGTTCATGCAATATTGAATGTATTCTGGTGGAGGAAATACCCATGAATGCCGTTACCTCGCGGTATGTCACATGACGTACGGCATCAGTGTCCGATTTTGAAAGACCTTCGATCGTCATCCACAATTTAATTCGTTAAACTAAATTTTAACAGAACCAAAGGACGAAGCTTCATCGCCATACAAATATTTATGTTCTTTGGTGAATACTTGCTATGATAATACCATCATCTAACTTGGTCTAGGCTTGGTAATAATACTAGGTTGTGCAATATTTGGTTCAAATTGGATAGTCCGTTCGCATGGTATTATAAAATTATTTTTCAGCAAAATTTTGACCATTTTGTGGGGGAGGTACCTGAAGGAACTTCGAACTGAAATCTCCATTTGACACTTATCGGGCGCAACAACCAGCCAGACGGATGGACGGACGGACATTTGTAAATCGACTCCGAATTGTCTGAAACGGATTTGTGTCAAAGAAACACGGGGTATGAAACTAATATTTCGATAAGGCACAGTTGAGAACGACTTCAGTTGGAACATATGCCCAAAAATTAGGCTAGAAAACGCTTAATGGGGAGGACCATTACATTAAGGCTATGTCAAAACATGAACCCATTATATTTAAACTTCTTACAAAGATTGGTTTACCAAAGCTTTAATTGGAAAATGGGACTAGGACCATTCAAATACTCAAAATGGAACGGAGCCATACAGAGGGGCTATATCAAAACATGGACCTATAAGGCCAAAAAAGTGAATCTACGTTTATTTTAAACTTGCTGATTTGCAGCAGATTTGAGTGAAATATACTGAAAAATATTATAATATTTCGAGGTGTTGCAAAGGGAATGACAAACACAAAATACACCCTACCTTAAGATGGATTGTGTAAAAATTAGGCGGTATCGTTATATCGGACCTATCTAAGAACGGGGATTGATGTATATCATTTTTTAAACCCGATCATATCAGAGGTACTGGTAATCTTTGTGCAATATTTCAAAACGATCTGTACCGTATTTTCAAAAAACAGACGGACAGACGAACTATATTCAGATATTAAGATCACGAATACATATATCCTATTGGAATCTTCGACAAATATTTCAAGGTACTGCAATCGAAAAGACAAATAACAGTTAGTATCCATGTGTGATATAAAAAGATCGAGAATTCGAGTTTGAGAATTAACCCGTATTTACCTGTTCCTACAGTGGAGCAGGATAACGTTATCTATTAAATCCAGAAAGTTATTTAAAGTACGACTATAAGTTATTTTCCTGGCTGGAAGTTTGATATAATACCAATATGGTTTCCCTTTAAAACTAATATCATACATCTCATATATATCTCATAGTTTACCAATAGTTCTTACATAGAAGGCCACTAGAACCAATACGACGGCAAGCATTTACTTTTTGAATACAGCTGTTTATTCGTTTCCCAAAAAAAAAACTAAATTATTTTCAGAAGCTTTTTTTTTTTTTGCTTAAAAATAAAATATCAAAATGTTTTCATTCAGCAAAAAAACATTTCGAATTATAGACTCTTCAAAACCCTGTGTAACCCTTTTAATTGTGAGTGAGGAGAGAGAAAATATTCCTTTCCTCCATCATAACCAAAATAAATTGAAAATGCAATTTCAATTCTTCCCCTGTATATATGTGGTTTTGAACACCCAAAATAAATTGATTCCAATGCCTTGTGTTATTATTAAATATGATTTCAATTACAAATAGGATATTTTGGAAAAATAGATTTTTTCTAATATTTTTTCAGAATTTTCTATGCAATTTTCTGTTAACAATTATTGCTTGTTTGTCTGACTGTGTGTGTGTATGTGTTTTCTAAATATTCTACAATTCTTGTATTCTCTCTTGCAGGCCGGTTAGTTTGGTATTGGAGCCCATATTAAAGGAACCCGGAGATATTGCCTTCACATGGCTGGAGATTTATCGTACGAAAAATGCATTATTACAACAATTTGATTTGCAAAGCAATACAACAACCACCAGTACAGTGGGTGGTGGTGCAGGAGGTACCGGCACGAGTAGTAGTGGTGGTGGCGGTGGTGTGATTACCACAACCGGCACCAGTGGCAACGATACGCTAAGTGATTTTGGATTCTATCCAAAAGAGTCAGACTGTGAATATAAATGTCCTGAAATTGATGCATGTATATCTGCCACATTGTGGTGTGATGGTAAGTATAACAATGCAACATTTCAGTAAAAACTTGGTTCTTTGTCTTTGGCAATTTTGAACATTTTTGTAAGCATTTGAAAATGGAATTTCAAATTTTATGCTGGTTCATGTTAAAGTTGGGGGAGAATTGTTTTATATTTTTGCAAACAAATCTATGTAAAGTTTAATGTCAGAATTCAAATCAATTGGTATGCATCAATGGTATTTTGAAAAAATATTACAATGTAAAAATTAATTTGTGTCAACACGAAAGACATTTCGATTCAAAAATTACACATTTCGACATAATTTTTCACTCTATATTGATACTTTGTCTTCGTTCTAGAACAATGGATTACAATTTGCCAATATTTACAGAAATTTAAAAACTACTACCACAAATACAATTACATTTGTTCCCATTTGCACACCTGACATTTCACGATTCGGGCATTTGAATTTGTTCTCATTTGGGTTTAAAAAAATAAAATAAAATGGAAAGGAATGTGTCATTCCATTTTATTTTTTTTTTTTCATTTATTTGATTTCACTTTTTTAGCTTTCATCGTTGAGTTGGCAGATCACAAAATTTTATTTCTATTTGTTGTCGGTAGGTTACTTAACATCCATGTTCTGCTCAAATTTAGGTTAAATCAACTTTGTATTCACGTAATGGGCCATTGTGTACGTGTCACGTAGTGTACAGAAAAATTAACAGAGCATTTAATAATTTATTTTTGATGTTCGTCCCTTTCGGACACAACGAAGGTAGCCCAGGATGATGCTATGTGAAGGTACAACTTTTTAAAAATTGTTGCGGGACAGGTACCATAACGTATAGAAATAGTATTGAAGAATGGTTTCTGTTATCTATGCAGTGAAAATTTATTCGGTAAAATTTCTTTGATGACATAGTCGGCCGACTATAGTATAACCTACACCACATAGGCAATATATAGGGATATCCATTTCGTGGTTTCGAAAGTAAACGTAAATAAAACATACACATTCGGGTCTTCGGAAATACTTTCAATTACATTAGCGTTATTTTTAGCGGGACGAATGAAACGAAGATGCAAAGGCCTTCAAATACTTCTAACCGCTACAGTCTCTTCCCAACCACAATTTCCTATTAAATATTCACTAATATTCTATTAAATATCCTAAATATTCACCGGAGACCCAATAATTAATTCTATGTTAATTTATATCTGTCCATTCTGTTGAAATCAGTATAGAAATCATTTTTGAGATAGAGCTTTGAAATTTTGCACTGGCACTGTTA